CTCTCCCCCAGCAAACTTCTTTCATTCTTAATATTGGAGAAAAATGAAAATAGAGTTTTATCATGCAGGTGATGCATCTATATGTTGGACAAGCTACAGAGAAGATGGCAAACTGCCATAGTACTCTTATGATTCAAGTTAAAATGGTCAAAAGTATTCACAATACATTTGCCCATCTATGGCTAACCTTTGAATTAAACAGCATTTCCAGATTTCAAATACTTGTGTATTTGACATCATAGATCTGGATCTTCTTCCTATAGTGGATAGCAGCCCACTGATGTAAGACTCAAATAATCTCAACTGTATGCTAGCACTGTTTAGAGGTTTTTATTTGAGTAATCACCTCTATTAACACTTGTCCAAAGAAGAAAAAAATATAGAGTGCCTGGTAAGTCATTTTGTTTCATAATGTGGAAATAAAGTATGACTGAGTTGTTGTAATCCAGCCAAAAGCAATTTGTGCTAGCATTTGGTAGTTGACAGAGAACACCCTATCTGTCCCAATGGACCAGATTATAAGACTGATGGACGACATTTTTTTGTCAGTTACTACATATTTTATGTGATTATGTAACTATTTCTGTACATGCAGAGGGGCATATTTTTACCTAATTAAAAATGACATGTTATAAGTTACCTTGCACACCTCTCCTTTTCTTGACAGCTGTAGAAAATAATTCTTTAACTACATTCACTGTCAAGACTTCTTTACAGCAGTAGCATTTCTTGTGAAGTTGTGCGCTTCACCAAGGGCAGATTCTGATTGGTCTTGTTGGGCTTTTAATCAACTGACATTTTAATAGAGGTATGTACTGAATGAGCTATCCTACAAGGGTAGAACTACTACCGGTACCTACTACTTCTCAATATTTGTCAATATCTGTCTATATCAAAAACCCACCCACTCAGAACCGTGTAGTTGCCAGTATTTGAAAATGGTTTTCAAGAACACTTTGCTGCTAAATTTTGATATTTGAAATGTCTTGACATTTTAAAATGGCAATACTATCTCTGAAGATTGCATACAATATATAAAATTTCAGTGTGTGGAATGAAAATGCTTTCTGTATTTATGATACTGCTTTTCATTAGATACAGTTGCAAGAAAAAGTATGTGAACCCCTTGGGATTACGTGGAGTTTTGCATGAATTGGGCATAAAATGTGCTCTGAACGTCATCTAAGTCACAACAATAGAAGAACACAGTCTGCTGAACATAATACTACATAAACATTAGATGTTGCCATGGTTTAATTGCACATAACATGTAAACATTCACAGTGCAGGGAGGAAAAAGTATGTGAGGCCCTAGCTTAATGACTTCTCCCTGAGCTAATTGGAGCCAGGAGTGAGCCAACCTTGACTCCAATCAGTGTGATGATATTGGATGTGTTGCTGACAGCTGTCCTGCTCTTAAAAAACACACACCTGTTTTGGGTTTACTGGTTTCAAGAAGCACTGTCTGATGTGAACCATGCCTGGCAGGAAAGAGCTCTCAGAAGACCTACGATCAAGAATTGTTGACTTGTATGAAGCTGGAAAGGGTTACAAAAGTATCTCCAAAAGCCTTGATGTTCATGTGTCCACGGTAAGACAGACTGTCTACAAATGGAGAAAGTTTAGCACTGTTGCTACTCTCCCTAGGCGTGGTCGTCCTGTAAAAATGACTGCAAGAGCACAGCGCAGAATGCTGCATGAGGTAAAGAAGAATCCCAGAGTGTCAGTTAAAGACCTACAGAAATCTCTGGTACATGCTAACATTTTTGTTGACACATCTACAATAAGGAAAACATTAAACAAGAATGGAGTACATGGGAGGACACCACGGAGGAAGCCATTGCTGTCCAAAAAGAATATTGCAGCACGTTTGAAGTTTGCAAACGAGCACCTGGATGTTCCACAGCACTACTGGCAAAATATACTGTGGACAGATGAAACCAAAATTGAGTTGTTTGGGAAGAAAATACAACACTATGTGTGGAGAAAAAAAGGCACAGCACACCAACATCAAAACCTCATCCCCACTGTAAAACATGGCGGAGGGAGCATCATGGTTTGGGGCTGCTTTGCTGCCTCAGGGCCTGGACGGATTGTTGTCATTGATGGGAAAATGAATTCCAGGAGTTTATCAAGACATTTTGCAGGAAAACGTATGACCATCTGTCTGCCAACTGAAGTTCCACAGAGGATGGGTGATGCAACAGGACAATGACCCAAAGCATACAAGTAATTCAGCAAAACATTGGCTACAACAGCACAGAATACGCCTTCTGGAGTGGCCCAGTCAGAGTCCTGACCTCAACCCGATTGAAATGCTGTGGCATGACCTTAAGAGAGCGATTCACACCAGACATCCCAAGAATATTGCTACACTGAAACAGTTTTGTGAAGAGGAGTGGTCCAAAATTACTCCAGATCGTTGTGCAGGTCTGATCTGCAACTACAGGAAACGTTTGGTTGAGGTTATTGCTGCCAAAGGAGGGTCAACCAGTTATTAAGTCCAAAGGTTCACATACTTTTTCCTCCCTGCACTGTGAATGTTTACATGTTATGTGCAATTAAACCATGGCAACATCTAATGTTTGTGTAGTATTATGTTCAGCAGACTGTGTTCTTCTCGTGTTGGGACTTAGATGACGTTCAAAGCACATTTTATGCCCAATTCATGCAAAACTCCACGTAATCCCAAGGGGTTCACATACTTTTTCTTGCAACTGTATGTTTGAAAGCATGGCGAATGTTAAAAGATAAGTTGAGTTCTGGTGAAGTTTACTTTTACTATCAGTCCTTGTGAGCATTGACAATGGGATAAAAATTATGGGAAATCCAATATTTTGTTTTCCTTTTTTTTAAATTAATTTATGTACAGTTGGCAACAAAACAGGAAGTAAATAGAAATCTCCAGGACAAAATAGTAAAAAAAACTGATAGAAGTTATAAAGCAACCCTGCCATTACAGTAAAAATGCCAAATAGATATATTTGGAAAAAAAGACTGAAACCTATCTTTCCTGCTGCCCATCTTGCCAGACTCTGCTCCATTCAGTAGAAGTCTTCCTTTGAAGTTTGTAGGAAACTGATAATTCAGGGAGTGTTGATCTGTGTCCCCACAGCTCTCGCTGGTTCCTACTGCCATGTCACTATTGTACTCTGTGAAGTCATGGAGGACAGTAGGAGGAACCAGTGAGAGCTGTGGGGACACAAGAGATCAACATTCCCAGAGATGTCAGTTTCCCTATGAATGTTAGAGGAGGATTTCTATTTAATGGAAGATGTCTATTGAATGAAGAGGAGATCAGTGACTCGGGCAGCAGGAAAGATAGTTCTTTACATTCTTTTTCTTGTATTGACATGGTCACTTTAAACCGCCTGTAATTTTTTTACCTTTTTAATTTTAATGACAGAGTTGCTTTAGGCATTTCCTCCTTTATCCAACATTAAAAAACAGGTTTTGACTATAGATACATGTGTGAGATTGAGGTGTCTAATGGTAAGCAGAAAAAGGAGCAATACAAGGTGTGGATAGATATAACGATTTATAATAAATCAAAGCTATCAATGGCTAAATAATAATTTCTAGTGAAAAATATCATCAAAGCACACTTTGAATCTACAAATTTATCAAAGAAAAGAAGTAGAGAAGCATACCATCATTGTGGGTTACCTCATTATGGTGTTGCTTTCTGCATTAAAAATATAAAATATAAAAGCATAATATACCATATTTGTTCAACATTACATGGTCTGATTTTTCCACAGATTTAGGTACTAAAAAAAGGATTGGGAATTACCAAATACTTCACTTTATACAGACGCTATTCCATAATATTAGCAAAAGCCTTGTTTTAGCTATCTGTGGTACAGGATCAATTTGTCTTCTATGCATGTAATCCTCCCTGAATTGCTGATAAGGAACTTGCAGACAAGCCCGGAGGGAATACATACTGAGAGCGATCTACCACACTGTTCAGTGAAATGCATGAAAGCGCATGTAAATGGAAAGTTCAAAGCACAAAACTGTAATATAACAATACACTACTACGAAGAAAAAAACAAAAAAACCCCATAAAAATACTTGCACCTTACAGTCCAAACCTAGATATTATATGATCAAGCACAATCTAGCTAGCCAGTTCATGTTAGCTTTCAGTGTCCTTAAAGGAGAAGTATGGCCAAAGCTGCTCCTGCTCCTTCCACAGCCTGGCGCTCCAGTGAGTGCTGAAGGAGCAGAGCAGAGAGCTGGTGACTGGTAGTCACTGGCTCTCTGTTTACTGAAGACCAAGAACTGAGTAATCAGCAGTGTTTGATCACTCAGTTCTCAGACTTAGAAGCTGCGGGGAACAGATGCAGCATTGGATCGATGCTGCATCCACCTAAGTAAGTATGTTTATTTTTGTTTTATTTTTTTTATATAGCAACCATCTCTTTTAAAGGGAAAGTATAGTGTTTTCTCAGTGAGTGCATTTTTTCAGCTATTATCGCAGTACTTACCCTAAAGTAACTTTGCTGTGATTTTCAAATTCCTAGATGCTTCCTACATGTTTCTTTTTCATATTTTTGTTATGTTAAATATAGACGTTTATAGATTCACCACAAGGGGGAAAAAATATTAAGTTTGTGAATACCACTGAATAATAATCTTGCACTGTGGGAAGGAACAGTAAACAGGCAAACAGGAAGTTGAATTTTTGTAATAGCAAATATGGCTGCTCCATGAACATATATAAAAGCATGCTATACCTAGAAACATTAAAATTTGAACGATGATTTATTTTTAGCTGATTTCTTTCATCTCTGTATATGAATAGATGCGGCAATGACTATTCCCCTTTAAATTTATTTTCATGCTGAAGAAAAAATTCTTTTAAATTAATTAATCAGGTTCTACATCATAGTTGTTAATATACAAGCACAGAGTATATACAGTTGTAGTGAGCTTAGCACAAACACAGGGCGCTCCAAGAATCCACAAAGAATGTCCTGTAAATGTATAACAGCCTAAAAACTGTAGACAGAATGCTTTCCACTGTAATCAGGATATATGCAGAGAGCAGGTACAGGTTTTGTGGTACCATATTGTATCCAGATAAAGCACAGACAATGCTCCCAGGCCTTACCATCCATATCCAGCCTCTGTATAATGACCTCCAGTTCCACTTCATTGGGCATGTACCCCAGAGACCTCATTGCGGTGCCCAACTCCTGCTTGGAGATGAATCCATTTCCGTCCCGATCAAACACCTTGAAGGCTTCTCGAATCTCTGTGTAGACAGACAAAGAAGATTAACCATTCCCAAGCCATTAGATAGATTGTTTATGAAGAACCTCATGTTGGAAAGATTCATATACTTCTTTCAAAACCAAATGCATAATGTTCAAGCAAATAATCTTTCTTTTACACAGAAATCCCATACTGATGCAGTTTTTTAATGCAGTAATATAAATACTGAGTCTAAATTGTTTTCAAATTTATCAACAGAGAAGCCCTAAACATTCATATTTTTATGCTGGAAACTACCTGTTCAAGAACAGTGCAGCTTTTGTTCTTGAATATTCACCAAAAGATACAGTATCTGTCTGTTTATATGCTTATGCTACAAATATTTCAACGTAGGATATTATACAATATAATAGTATAGAATGTTTGCTTGTTAAAATAGTAGGATTTCCATGCATTGAAGCCCTCACAAACAATTGACTGCTACCTAATATATTTGATGAAGGAAATTCTTTAGTCCATTATAAAGTTTCTTTTAGTATAACCCTTCCATTCTATTCCATATTGTGAAACATTAGAAACTCCATTCCAGTTTCAGGCCTAGACCAAAACTGGTTTTCCTGAAACAATGGTCTTTCACAGCTAGGCAACTATTACCACTTGTGTGCTGGGTCTTCTACGGGCACTCTGGTAAACTCCAAAAGTGTTCTGATACAATTTTTTTGTTCAACAATGGGTTTCTTCTTTTCATTCTTCCATAAGGCCCAAACTTGTGTAGTGACTTACAGGTGTCCCATGGATGGTTTCTCCTCTCTTCAATGCTGGTTAGAAGTCAGTTAGAAGTTAACTTCTTTGACTAATGCCTCTGTTACACCAATCACTGAGTTTCAGTGGTTGTTCTTCCTGAAAGTCCTGTCTGTTATTATTTTCCATTTTTATTAGTAGATTTAACAGTACTCTGTGGGATATCTTCAAATGCAACACTGATTGGTGCATTTCTATAACTTTATTCTGTTTCCTTCAACAAGCAGACACATTTATTCTCAGAATTCTGAATACAGTGGAGTAGCATTCAAATAATTATAGAAACTTCTGAAGGCAACTGGTATCACCTGAGTTTATTTAATAGGTTCTGAAGCAAAGGTGGGCTTGTAAAAGAGAATACAATAAAGATGTTTCAAGGTTTTCTATATTTAAATAAATGTAAAATGTTATAGATTCTATTTTGTTTTATTACTGACAATTTTTTTACATAGGTAACATCCACTCCCAGTTAGTTCTTTTTTAAATTCTAAATTATAACACTCATCCATTGTGGAAAGGCCCAAGCAGAGTGAATAGTTATTCAAAGCACTGTATAATGCATTATCTTCAGGTAATAAAGACAACTGAACTGACCATGATGCCACTTGCCTCTAAGCCACATGTATCAAACACAAGGCCCATGGGCTTAATCTGGCCCACCAGGTCATTTCACATGGCCTTCGCACCTCTCCTGCAGCTGCGGCACCCCCCTCATCCACCTTGTCTCAGCAGTCGGCAGCAGAGAGGACAGAACTCCTACAGATCCTGCACCTCTCTGTGCAGCCAGCCACTGCACCCTTTTGTCTTCACCTCCCCTAGTCTCAGCAGACTCCAGTCCTCCTCCAGACTCTGCACTTACTGCTTTCCATCTCCGCTCCCAGCTTCTACCCGGCAGCAGCACAAGTTAGAGGGGGTGCACTGTGATGTAAGGGAGAGTGAGGGACTCTTGACTTTTGATGGTGGGGGGCGCTTGACATCTGATGTAAAGGGAGAGGCGTGCTCTGAACATCTAGCCTTACAGATACAATTGGTCCTTTAAGGGCAGCCATGATGCCCACGATAAAAGAGAGGTTGACACCCCTGCTCTAAGCAATGCTCCTTCTATTTTCTTGAACTCCATTTCCTGCATTTCAAATGCTTCAATACTTCAAATGCTTTCATTGTTATTCTTCATTATGTTGGCCTTGGCTTCTTTAGTGAGGCAGTGCAAATATACTAGCATGAATATAGTATTGTGCCTATGTGTCCACAGGTGTTCTGTGTATCGAAGAAAGGTTACATACACAAGGGCAAAAATAGGATGAATGTGACTAAAAAGTATTAAGGCGTATCTAAACCCATGAACAAAAAATATATTGCAATTTACCAATCGTTAGAAGTCATAGCTGAGTTAGTTTTCTTTTTTCCGTTTTTTTTTTCACCTGGTGACCCAGCCAGTAACACACTCCCTGTCATAGGGTGGCTCCTCCACCCCTAGACAGCAGCAGTGTCAAAGTCTGGAGAGGGTAGTGTTAGATGGACTAGTAGATTTACATAAGTGAATAAACCTGGGTATACAATAGTAGATTTTCTAATGAAAGTTCATACATATATTTATATTCATAAGAAACATTTGTACGAAAATTCTTAGTATCTTTGAAGAATGTCGTTTCAACATACCGGTAGGTAAAAACTTTATGTGCTTTTAACATTTGATTTTGGAGTGAATGGACTTTACCAAACAAAAACCACATGCACTAAGAGATCTATTTGCTCAGGAAAATTCTTCCATCTCCTCCTTCGAATTTTCATGTCACTGTGGTCAAAATCAAATGTTGGTTTGACCCCACTAACGATTAGAAAATTTAACAAATATTCTTAAAGAAAACATTTCTAACAAAAATCTACTAGTGTATATCGAACTTAACAAATTAAAGCCTTATTTTTTCTATCACCCCCAGTTCACATATATGCGGCTGTGCGGGCTGCGTGTTGCACGGGCACGAGAGCCCATTCATTTGAATGGACTCCCATGCCCGTGACACTCAGGGAAGAAGTCGGTTCCCAGTACGGTTGCGTTTTTCAGTGCGGGCGGCGTGTCATTAGAACTAATGGCACCCGCCTGCGGGTCCGCATATCTCTGTGCGGGTGGTGTGGCTGCACGGATTTTCGTGCGGATCCGCACGGCACAGATGTGAACCAAGTGTTAGTGTGTGGCCACCCCCACTCAACAGAAGTTGCTAGAAAACTTTTCTTCTTCAACTACTGCAGTCAATTGGATGCAGTGTATTCTGACAGGTGCATTTAAAGTCAATGAATAAGGCTCCATGCACACTGGGCTTCAAAAAAACCCGCCAGTTCCCTTGGCAGAAATAAATGCTGATACGGAGCGTTTTTGTACACAGTTTAGGTGAGTTTAGCATTTTTTTTGCCAGAAGGCTCCAATCTAAAAAGCAAACCAGAACGTTTTTTTTTTCCTGCCTCTAAATGGTGAGCCTAATCGTTCTAATGTACATGAGCCCATAGGATAACACTGAGTTGCTTCTACAGGCAAAACAAAAAACTCTTGTAGAAGCAGCAATTTTTTTTAAGCCAGTGTGTATGGAGCCTTAAAGCTGACTATTGTAAGCACCCTTGACAGTAGTAAATACTGTAATTTGTCTCAACCCTCCAACTTCCACATTTGCTGTGCAGCTTGGTCATTTAAAGGAAGTAAAGAATTATGTTACAGGGGGAGTCAGAAAAGCAAAGCCTGCTTCTTAATGGCAGTGACAGGCTGAATAATGTATGTAATTTTTGATTTTGCCTTTAGTACCACTTTAAGGAGCCCTGTTATGTAATGCGCTCTGAAAAGAGAAATGGGTTAGAAGTAAACGTGGTGGATTTATACGCTTGGAGATCATTACAACAACTGCCAGAGCCCTTACCTTCTGGCAAAATCTGTGATGGATTTTTCTGTGTATGGCCAATTTTAGAACTGGAGTTGTCCTAGGTCAAACATAACTGATGATGTTCCATCTGATGTCCCTAGGGTCCAGTGTTTTTGGCAATCTTTGATTATCCAGCTATTGTTAGACCACATCATGCCTTTCAATATTATGATACACTGGCATACATGGAATTATTCTATCAGAGTTTGACAGTAAAATGTTAGCTATCTTAAAGTGTAACAGTGTATGTTATTTTTGCCAATGATTTAGAAGATAATATTCACACTGGACTTTACAGTACATGGTTTATGAGCCTACAGTATATATTGTATAAACAGGTGAAATTGCAGCATGATACCGAGTTTGAGACTTTGAGTCCTGTGCAAGTTACTATTGTAACTTTCAGCTGTGATTTGACAGGACACTTCGCTTCTCTTTTAAATCGCTTGCATACCGGGCACTTATACCCTCTTCCTGCCCAGGCAATTGCACGGTCATGCAACACTGTACCCATATGAAATTTTTATCATTTATTTCACACAAATAGAGGTTTCTTTTGGTGGTATTTACTCACCGCTGGGTGCTTTTTTATGCCATAAACAAAAAAAGAGCAAAAAATTTGAAAAAAAAAGTTTTTCTTTGTATCCATTCTAAAATTTTGCAAACAGGTAATTTTTCTCCCTCACTGATTTGCGTTGATGAGGCTGCAATGATAGGCAGCACTGATGGACACTGATGGGCATTGATAGGCAGCACGGATAGGTGGCACTGATGAGCTGGCACTGATATGCAATGATGGGCACTGATAGGCAGCACTGATGGGCACTGACTGACAGCACTGCTGGGCACTGACTGGTGGCACTGCTGGGCACTGATGGGTGGCACTGCTGAGCAGCACTGATGGGTGGCACAAGTGGGGGGCAATGCTGGGCACTGGTGGGTGACACTACTAGGCACTGCTGAGCACAGGTGGGTGGCACTGATAGGCACTGATGGGTGGCACTGCTGAGCAGCACTGATGGGTGGCACCAGTGGGGGGCACTGCTGGGCACTGGTGAGTGGCACTACTAGGCACTGCTGAACACAGGTGGGTGGCACTGATGGGCACAGTTGGGTGGCACTGCTGGGCACTTGTGGGCGGCACTGATGATCGGTGCCGATCCATCCTCTGACAATTGCTGGTTATCAGCAGTACTTTCCTCACGCTGTGACAACGTGAGGAAAGTGCAGCCGATAGCTGGCAACTGCATTTATCG